GACGAGGTGCGAGGCAAAGAGGGAAAAGGCATGCTTCGAGGGAGGTCCAGCAAGCCAGGTGGCGACGCCCACGCACGCAGTAGTTGCAGATTGCCGGCAGTCGGAGGACGATGAGGCGGGGAGAGCTGCGTAGAGGAAGAACACCAGACCAAAGATGGGTCAGCACGAGCGAAGAGATTGGAGCTGCCACGAAGATGATTCGTCGACCGGATCTCCAGACAAGATGGCAGATGGCACTACGAGCGGAGCTCGCAATGGGGATCCTGGCCATAGTGTACTACAATCTGGGAAGAACAGCCACGTGCAAATGGGTCACAAGATCGGGGAGCAAAATCAGAGTGCCCAAGCTCAGCTGCCGGTGTTGAACTAGCTGGGAGAGGGAAGCCACAGCCAGGTCATCTCGCAACCCGACACTTCAGGTATCGGTGCCGGGCCTGGGGGAGAGCGCAGAAGCGGTGTCCGGAGCGTTCGGGTTTGAGTGGAAGCCATCCGTCCCCCGACTTGGGCGGAGGACCTGCGCATGTCGGCGGTGGTCATTTGTATGGGCGAGATTCATGCGTTTTGCATTGTTTGGCTTGCTTTGGGAAAGGTGTCAAGCACGGATAATGTTGGAGTTGCGCAGCCCTTTTCGGGCTCAGAATATATACTGTATGGAGGCCATGCTAGTTCCGTATTCTGCGATCGACGTGGAGAGTTGGTTGGTCGCAGAAGTGCTGGTGGTCCTGAAATGGGGCCCGGGCTGGAGAGGAGACACGCTGCCAGAAACTCCACGGCGACCAAAGAAGCATGGAATTGCAGAGTCAAGCTGCCAACCCAAGATCATGAATGGGGTAGAGACACAAACCACGGCGAACAGTGCATCTCCAAAGTGGCATCAAACAGAGCAATCGACACAGGCCAGAACTAGTGGGATCACCGTGCGGGGTGCCAAACCAACAGGGCAGATTACTGTACTTGGAGTTGCGCGGCACCAATTTTTTTACATTCCCCCGCAACTTGCCCACCCCCTTCCCCCCATCCTTCGGCACCGATGGCTGTGCTTTGAGGCCATGGCGCCAAGAGTTCACCTCAAAGGGCCGGGGCCGGGGCCTATACTGGGCCGCTGAGCTGTGGACCATTGGTGACGGGCGCGCTGAAGGGCAAGGTGGAGATCCAGTTCAGCGCATGGGTTCTCCAATTACGCGAAAATCAAACAACGCAAAAGATGGAAGGGCTTGCGCAGAGCCCGTAGTTTGGACAGGCGGGGGAAGATGGAGCAGGTAGAAGGGGCGCGGGTCTTTACAACACATGGTGCTTGGGTGAGGCCAAGAGAGTGTCGAGGAAGGACTTGCCAAGTTCTACGGTTGGCATGTGGCTGCCGCGCTGAAGGCCATTAAAGCTTCCGTTGGTCAATACCTGACGAGGATGGGAGTTCGAAACGAGCTGCGCTATCCCTCGCTTGGGCTATGGCGTGGATGCTGAAGGAGGTCGAGCTCAGCGCCGTCAAGTGGAAAGACCTACATCCGCAGCGGGGCAAGAAGAGAATTGGCAAATCCATTGCGGTTGAAATGCTGCGGGCCACGGACTTGCTGCAGGCGGTGTCCTTGGATATGGGCTGGAATGGACCTTCGAAAGTCCTGAGCCTCCACAAATCCCTTTGGGGAGTGCGAAGGCCGAGAACTATCGAAGACTAAGATGGAAGAAGCGGAGCAATACACTACGTGAAGTGAGGCTTGGTATGCCTATACAAGAGCTGGCCTTGTTGGCGACATGGAAGTCGTCGGTTGTTTTGACCTATGCGGAGGACGCCCTTCAGACGGAGCCAGCAAATCTTGGAATGAGTGAAAACCCTAAGAACTTTCTGGCCAAGAACGGGAATACGGGTATGAGCCGGACGATGCGGAAATGAACCTCAGGGCAAGATTGGTGATGACTTCAGCCCCCCTCAGCGCCCAAAAAGAACGCATGTTATTCTAAAAACGCTGTCTGTGCTTGGAAGGTATGGACCTTGGCTCGAAAGAATTTATTTTAGAATGTGAGGCTGACGCTGGAGAAGTTTGTTTGGTAGCGTCTTGTGCTTCTAGGGCAGGTGTGGTGGACACTGAATCGTTCATGTCAGTTGTTCTGAGTTGAGCATGTTGCATGTTGGCATGTCTATGAGGCTTCAGGTGAATGTTCTTCTTCCCACCCTCCCAACCCCTGAAAAACAATTTGATGTTCCTTTCCTTTGATTTTGGGGGCGCGAGAGGAGCTAGTTGCTCCGACAGGTGTCCTGTTGGGTCACCCTTCGCCCCGTGTTCGGGGCCGGGTGGGGCGACTCACGGGATAGATTCAGCTGGTTACTGTTCTATCTTCCGGTTGAGTAGTGGGTGTTGGGAGTTCTCTTCACTGCCGGTGTATGGAGTTCACCTCCTAGTGGGCCTAGGTGTGCTTACCAACGTAAATCGGAAGAGTGCTTCTGATGCCCGACAGCTCCCTGCGCAGACTTGAGGAAAAGAAGGGAGCTGACTGTTCGACGACTGCACTGAATGCTAAAACAAAATCAGTTGTGATACATTGGTTTTGAACCTCAGCACTGGCTGATTTTACTTTCTTTTTTTGAATAGTGAGAGACGCTTCAAAACCAAGCGCGTTCAACTTGGGATGAACTTCCAAAAAATAATTTTGAGATTCCACTACAAAACAATGGTTGCGCGATGCAAGTCGTCCCAGTCATTAGTTCGCAGTGGAAACTCAAGGTGTTTTAAATTAAAAGGCGTTCCTAGGTCATCAGCCATGAAGCTACTGTAGGAATACACAAGCATGTAATCAGGCAGAAAATGTCAAAGTCGCTAGTGTTTTATGTGTTTTCCATTTTTTGCTGTTGAACTCCAACAAACCGTTTTGGAGTCAACTCGGGTGTCAAACCGTCCGGCAGGACACGAACTTAGGCCAGAGACAAGCCTTTTGTGGTTGGAGGTTGAAGATACACCGATTCTATTTTACTTAATTGCTGCGTCACCAAGCCAGCCCCCCACAAAAGCCACCCACCCCAGCCAGAAAGTGTTAAAGTAAGAATTAGTTAGCAGACTGAAAGAGGTATAATGTTGTAGTTCTAAGGTTTTAGGGCATTTTAGGGTGAGTTTAGCTCTGGGTTGGCTGCTGATTTTGTTTTATTGCAATTGTGTTTCCAATAAAAACCACCCAAAACACAGACACAAGCACAGCACCCCACACAAGCCATGCTAGTGCTTCCCAACCCTACCCAGAGAAATCTCCATCAAGCATAGCGTGAAAATAGAATGTGGGAAGGCATGGTCAGAGATAAGTCTTTTGTGGGTGGAGGTTGAAGATGTGCAGATTCTATTTTATCATATTTTATCTAATTGTTGCATGGCACCAAGCCAGCCCCCACAAAGCCACCCAGCCCAGCCAGAAAGCCTTAGAATAAGAATTGGTTAGCAGACTGAAAGAGGTATATGTTGTAGTTCTAGGGTGGGTTTAGCTTTGGATTGGCAGATTAAATGTGTTTTGCAATTTGGCATTTGGTGAACTGGCAGTCTTGGGCATTTGCGTTTAACAGACGTATCATGGGTGGAGTGGGAGCCGATGTCTAGCATAAGGGTTTTTTGCCTTGGGGTTGCTCATTTTATTTTCATCAAGTTGCCTCCGCTGAGGTATTCTGATAGCTTAGTCAGATGATGAATTTGCAGGGTTGGACCCACTGTTTTTTTTTAAAAAATAAAGTACCTTGGCTACCCCCCAGAGTTATTGACCAAGCTACCCAAAGTGGGCACGCTCGATTGCCTACAACTCTGGGAGAAGATTTGGCACACACCAGAAAGTGTGGAATGGGATGCGTTCACGGAGGAGTGGCGTACAGTTTGCGGTTGGCTTTGCTTCTTCCTTTGTCCTCCTTCTTTCTCTTGTTCTTCTTGCTCCTGCTTTCATTTTCTTATCCTGCTCCTTCCCCCTTCTGCCTCATCCTGCCGCTTCTTCCTCGCACTTGATTTTTTCTTGCATCTATATAGCTGCATTTTTTCCTGCTTTGTCTTATTGTTCCTTATTTGTTTTATCTTCCTTCTTGTTCTTGTCTTTTTCTTTTCTCTTCTCTTGTCCTGACTTGATGCAGAGATAGGGCCGTGGATCTTGTAAATGCCCTTGTCCCGAAAAACAAAATACTCGGTTCAATTCAAGCCCACCCACCCTCCATCTACAAGAGGTTTTGCTGGTAGTCCTTTCGCAAACCGTTCTTCATTGAGTCAGGCATTCTCTTTGACTCACCATCAACCCCCTCCTCCCACAAATACGAGTGAGTGTGTGGGATTGAGAAAGGGACCCAGTGAGTGAGGCTGAACTTGAGCCTCGCAGCTAGGAATATCGTTCCCTTCACTCTTAGAGGTGCTTCTTCCTTTGTTCGTCAGGCCCGTCTAAAACGAATTACTCCGTCGATCATAGCCCCTCGAAGAACAAGCCTGAAATTGTCGCAAAACAAATCGGGACAACGTGTAGACTGAGACACCATTAATATAAGCAGAAAGCAAATGGCTACAAACATGAGACTTCTCTGGCATCTTACCAACTTTCACAAAACCAGTGGTTGTGAAATCCCTACCCCAAGCGAAAACATAAGTTGCATTTCCCCTCACTCCCCTCCATTCGACTTGTGTTCAACATCCACAGCTCACCCGCCCCTTGCTCATGGCGAGAACGGATACGGAAAGCTAGTGCGACCGCCTAAAGAAAAGATTGTTCCCGCATGAAAATAAGAAACATGTTTTCCAGAACACCGAATTACAACCAAGAGATTAAGAACCCTGCTCCTCCCAAAAGAGGCATTAAATGGACTTTTGCAGTGCCACCAGCTTGTGGAAGAACTATCAGCAAAACAATCACAAGATTGGTGACATTGGCAAACGTCGATATCCTTTTCAGCGCTTGCTTTTGACACTATAATGTTTGCCTTAACCTACAGAAACCGCTGGTCTCCTGACAAATATATCCTTTTTTCCAAATGCATTCGCTTGTACTTGCGCAACCAGGTCGCGTTGAAGGTGCTCAAACAACGCGGATTTGATATCATTTGGGTCAACCAATATGCAGAAACAGGCCCACCGGCTTTGCCTATGGTTTGTTTGTGGATGGCTGGCTTTGCAATGGCTGCATTGGCCAGGCTTGCCTTTTGATTTCTTGGTCCGGCCAAGCAGTGCCCGAAGGGTAGCTGGTTCGAAGCAGCAACATGCACTGCTCAGCTTTCCGGGAGGAAGTGCGTGACGTGCACCCTTGAGCACAGACAGGTACATGTTCGTTTCCGCCCGCTATGGCCAAGCTATGCTCCACAAAATCCGAGGAGGAGGCCAGTAGCAGCACTCCCAGTTTGGGTCTCGCATTGCCCGTTCCCGTAGGTGCCTTCCCTCCAAATGATTGAGGCGGGCGCACTAGTCAACAGCTAAAAGAATGAAATGGGGAATCGCGGAAGGCAAAATATCTTGAGAAGCACAAATGCACTGTGGGTGCATCTCGCTTAGGCTGCATTGTCGCAGGATTCAGGAGCTGCCCGGCTGGTCTATTTTGTGGAGCAGAGTGGGTTGTTTGCAGCAGTAGGTGGAGGGATTCGCAGGTCGGTCTTTGTCTAGAATTCCGATTCATTGCACTGTGGCCATCAGCCTTTATTTCAACTTTGTGGTGAGGTATTTTTGGTGGAGGTCAAGACAAGTCTCACATCAAATGCTCACACCTTCGACATCAGCCCAACGCAGTTGTCCATGGCCAGATGTGGCTGGGCGTAATTTGCCTTGGTTCCTGGTTTGCATGAAATTGCTTGCGAACTGCGAAGTGTTGAAGAATAATAACAGAGCTGGTGTCAACAGGCCTGGGCAAGCGCTATTGGCTCGCAGTGGTGAGGAAAGTGTCTGAAAGCTTGGGGCAAGTTCAGCTACACAAGGATGTCCCCAGGGCAGTTTCGGTTCAAGTCGTGCTTGCATTGCACAATTTAGTCAGTTGTGCCAACGATTGCTGTCAACACGTTACAAGCATGAAACAGTATAAATAGATATAAATTAGTATGAATGTGTGTTCCAAACGTGCAGGATTTAGACGATGCAATTAGAAAAGGACGAGTGAAGTTGCTTTTGGTGGCATGAACTTCAGGATTCAGTCACTTGGCTCCTCTCTTTGCAAAACAGTTTATTTACAACAAGATTCAAGAAGTCTTGCAGTATGTTTCAATTCTCCGGGATCGGGAGGCTTGGTACAGATCTTTCCGGGTTCACCTATCTTAGTTAGGACAACCATGCTTTTGGCCACAAGGGTTCCTCGAAATTTGCACTCAAAACACGGCTTGAGGGTTTGAGATACGATAAAAACATCAGCTCCATCGATCTGGCCCACCCCAAACAAAGTCTTGAAATTGTGCTTGCTCTACAGGAACATGCCTTAGTTACCTATACAATCCTATACAGTACAGTAACAAGTATATAAAAGTTGATTTATCGTACTGGCAAACTTTGGTGTTCTATTTGAGATACATTGTGATTGGTCACAGTGTTAGTTTCTTGCAGCGCATTGATTGCAGCAGCTTTTCATGCTCAGTCCTTCTTTTCGATGATTGCTGTTCCGAGGTGCAGGTTTCCTGGCATCGGCCCCGATCTTGCTTCCACTGAAAGCTTCACGTCTATTGACTATTGAGAACAATGGAGAGGACAGTCAGAGCTGAATGCATTCCAGCTTAATTGGGTGTGGCAACGAGACGCCTTTGGTTGTGTGTGAGTTTTTTTGTTCGATTGTGCCTTGTATTGATACCCTTGCTTGGTGGTTCTTTGCACCTGTGACACAACCAGAGTGTGTGGATGTTTCCAAAGCTCCTTGTTTAAACATTATTGTGAATACACCCCCTCGCGCGACCAGCCGAGGGGCTCGAGGTTGAAAACGTTTTGGTAGCGCTCCCACTTTTCAGTGGCAGCGGAGCGTAGGTTTCGTTTTAGGTGACCTTTGGCGCGGCGCTTTGGGGAGCCTGGCTACGCGGGCGGCTTTTGGGGTTTTGGTTTGGTTCCTCGAGCCCTACGGCATGACCTCGTACTATGAGGTGTTCGAGGCGGCGCCGGTGGATGAGCCCAGTGGAGTTTCGGAAGGTGGCTCTGAGTGGATTCCCTCAGAGCTGGAGGGGTGGCATCTCCCGAGTGCAGGACGGGCTTGGTCAACGTCCTCGTGGGCGACCTGGAGAAGTTGGACGGCCGGTGGCCAAGGAGAGAACTGGTCGTGGGATGGACGATCAGCGGCTGGGGAAAGTCAGAGTGCTTGGACCGAGTGGTCTGGACGAGATGGACGACCACGAGTACCTGATTCTGGACAAGGTCGACGGCAGGACATGGGGTGGGAGCGCCATCACGGCGAAGGGAGTGCGCATGCCAATTGGTCATGGGATGATTGAGCTGGGGGACACGATCAGGGACCAGATCATGTACCAGGGCGCCGTGGGAGCGTGGATCAGGGCCAAGAGAACTGGTCCTGGAATCAGGCTAGCTTGTGGTCCGGCGGAGATCAAGAACGACGACCAGGGGACTTCTTCCAGGGCACGATCAGCAACAAGTCCATGGGCCGCCGGCTTCTCCGCCAGCAGCGGGGTTCAACCGGCATGGAAATCTCCCGTCTGGGGAGGTGTCATCGGCAGGGGATTCACCAGATCCTCGATAACCTGGAGATGAGCCTAAAAGCCAGGGAAGCGGGAAGGGGAAGATCAGCAGCTCCTACCCGCCAATCTTCAGAGCAAAACCTGGCAAGAGCTACAGGGACTGGCGATGAAGCCTTGAGTTTTCAGATCCTGGAGGAGTACATAGGCCCTCGAATCATGGTGCAGCTTTGGGACAGGGCAGCGCAGTTGGTGAAGCTTCCATCTCCTCTACCGGAAGACCACTGCCTTGGACGTGAACAAGCAGGGCTTTGCAATGGGATTGGCAACGGTCACTCGCTGCAACCATCGGCCTGGATGGCAAAATGGAGCGGAGGTCAGCTCTGGCGGCGCGATGGACCCCGAAGTTTATTCTGGAAGCAGCCCAGCTTTGCCTCCCGGGCCAGGAGACCCATGGCTCTGAGGATCCAGTCCCCGCCATCTATGACACTCTGCCGGTGGCCATCGAGGAAGGTGTCTTGACCCCGGAGGAGGCCTCGAAGAGACAAATGAAGCAGATGGGGGCCGAGGGTGAGCGCTACGACTACATCATCTTCGAGGCGGAGGCCCGTATGCTCCCGTGCCACCTTGGCACACCTGCATGTGGCCTTAGGCCATCTGTCGAATGAGCGCTTGCACCGGATGATCAGTCTCGCTGGGGGCAATGCCGACCTCCTCAATGGAGTGAAGAACACGCGATGTCAGGTATGCAGCATGGTGCGCCCCCGTGGTAGCAAGCCACAGGTGTCCTATCTCAAGCCCACGAACTTCAACCAGAGGGTGAGCGGGGACGTCTTCTTCATTTGGGATGTGAAGAATGTCAAATGAGCTCACGGACTACCACGTGGGTGCCTTGGATTTCGATCCAAGCTTGGACTGGGCGGCGGATGTGCTATGTCGGTTGTGGTGTGATGTCTTTGGTCCCCGATACCCTGGTCACGGATGCTGGCACCGAGTTTCAGGGGGCTTTGGCCAGGCTCAATGAACTTTTTGCAGTGCAGCACGACGTCATCCCCGACCAGGCGAAGTGGCGCCTTGGACATGCTGAACGACATGGAGCCATCATGAAGGTGATGATGATGAAGGTGGTGATCGAGCTTCAGATTGACACCTGTTCTTCAAAGAACCGGGTGGTAGGCAAACATGGGGTGGCACCTTTGCAGGCGGTCACGGGCTGCAACACGCCTCTGCCAAAATCCTTGAACGGCCGTTAACCAGGAGGAAGCCATCAGAAGAGCTGACCGCATCCGAGCAGCATCCATTGAAGCCTGCCATTGGATTGATGCCCATGAAGGCCTTCGGAGAGCACTGGCAGCAAGATCCCGGCCACCCGATCTGGAGCTTCTACGGGTGGGCGCGACTACGTTCCCGGTCAAGGCCTATCCGCTGGAGAAGATCCGCCTGAGGTGGAGAAGAAGAGGGAGCTGCTTCATGATGTTCCCCAAGCCTTGGGAGATGCCGATAGGGAGGAGCCCCATCTCCTTCCGTTCAAGAAGAAGCAGAAGTTGTTTGAGCAGCTGGCGAAGGATTTGGGCGCGCCATCTACGATGCAGGAGGCGGCGGTGACAGGCTGGAGAATGCCTATGGCCAGTTGAAGAAGGTGCGTAAGGAATGGAAGACGGAGCAGAAGGAGAAGGGGCGGCAAGCGGCTCGTGGCTATGCAACAGCGAGTGCCACCAAGGGGACGTCCGGGCCCTCGCAGAAAGAAGGTCGAGCTGGAGCCCTGGAGCACCTACTGGTCCGAGATTGAGATGCAGGTGGGCTTGTGGGAGGCGGATGGCGAGACGAACCTGTACCTGAAGAATTTGGTCGACCGCTCGGAGGAGTATGCGTCGGGCGAGGTCAAGGCGGTGATGGAGGCCCAGCTGGTCACTGGCATCCGTGTGGAGTACCAAAGGAAGCCGCTGGTGAAGGCTGCGCAGGTCTACTTCGACCATGATGCCATCGAAGGAGTACCAAAGGACGCAGTAGTGGACCCCCGGAGGATCCTCAGCTCCAGGTTCGTGCTCCAACAAGGGTGGCGAGACGCTGGTTGAGGCCGAGTTGAACGCCCGATGGATCCTTGGCGGACAGAAGGATGTTGAGGCGGGGCGGTACCCTACGGCTAGCCTCCTGGGACACAATATCCTGAACATGGTGGCAGTGCAGCTGGGCTGGGTGGTGCACTACGAGGATGTGAGTGCCGCCTTCCTCCAGGGACAGAAGCTACCTATGTGGTGACGGACTACATCAAGGAGCAAGTGGGCAATGGCTGCCGCTCTGACATCCTCAAATTGCTGAAGGGTGGGTTCGGGCTCGCGGAATCCCCGAGGCTTTGCTACTTGGAGTACAAGGCCACCTTGAAGAAGATCAAGCTCAATGAGTCGAAGTTGATCCCGGGCCTGTTCGTGGCATTTCATCCTGACGGACGACTCCGGGCGATTGTCACCATCCACGTGGACGACGCCAGATACGCCGGGGATGAGACCGCGCAGGAGATCTGGGACGCTCTCCATGAGCGCTTGAAGTTTGGCCAACACCGCCTGGCGACTGAAGGGTGGCAGAAGTTTTGCGGGCGCTATGAGAAGCAGGACCCCAAGACCTTGGAGTTCCTGTACCACGGAGAGCTACGTGCAGAAGATTCCGGACGTCGCCAAGGAAGAGTGTGCCATGGAGCGGGGTCGGCTGAGTAAGAAGGAGCGCACCAAGATTGGCTCGATCCTGAACCAGGTCAATTGGACGGCACGCCAAGGAAGGTATGACCTGTCGCATGGGGTGTCCCATTGCCAACAACTGGCCGGAGCTGGGAAGAGGGAGCGGCCAAGCTGGTGGCCAGGGCGAAGAAGGAGGTCATCGTCAAGGGGCGCGACCTCAAGGACATTTGGCGATCTCCGCCAGCGATGCGGCCTTTGCGGCACAGCCCAAGGGACGCTCCCAGGGTGGCCTCGCTTGCATGGTCGCCCACCCTGATGTCCTGGAGAAGACCGCGCCGGTCTGCCTGCTTGAGGGTCAGAGCATGAAGATTCAGCTTGTGGTGAGGTGCAGTATGAGCGCTGAGTTGTCCATGGCGGCGGAGAGCTTCGAGCATGGGGACTTCATCTGCGCGGCCTTGGCGGAGGTCCTCTACGCTGACTTCACCTTGAGGACCTGGAAGGGCTATGCCAGCCGCTGGAAGCACTACTTGGTGATCGACGCGAAGACGGGCTATGATGTGCTGGCATCGGAAGTGCAGACTTCCGACAGGAAGATCCTCATCGATGCCGCGGTGCTGAGGCAGGCTTTGATCGAGGAGGGTTCCGGCAACTTTGTCAGGTGGATGCCGGGCAAGGAGATGGTCAGCGATGGCTTGACCAAGTGGGCCGACAACGGCGTCCTCATGAGGGTCATGACACGCGCGAGGACCAGCGGGGGTAAGTGTGAATACACCCCCTCGCGCGACCAGCCGTGGGGCTCGAGGTTGAAAACGTTTTGGTAGCGCTCCCACTTTTCAGTATTATTTTGTGTGTGTTGGGGTGGGCAGTCTAATTGCACTGTTGTGACGTTCTTTGCTTGAAAGGCCAGAAAAAGTTGCTGATTGCATAAGATGCCTTGACCTTGCGTTTTTTCTCTTGATTGTCACCTTTGTTCGGACTGGAATCCAGTCCTCTCTGGCGCATAATTCTTGCTCGAAGGCGTTGAGAGGCGTAATTGTGTGGAATTGCATTCATCGCTTTATGGGGGGGAAGGGTTTGTGGATATGTTTTTCGTTTGTGAACGGAATTGCATTGCCGACATCGTGAGGTATGTCTGGAGGGAAAGCGGTGGTGGGTGAAAAGACAGCGAAAATAGAAAGTTTTGCAACGTTCCATTTGGGGAGTGCACATGAAGTGGCACACTTGCAGTGAGAAATTACAAAAACCGTTGAAAGGAGTTGCCTTTCATGGATTTGCTGATGCAAATGGTGCACAGAGTGAGTGCATCATGGAGTGATGAGTGAAAGAAATAGAAAATAGGAAATTGGACGGGGGAGTGTATGGTCGATGTGAGAGACAGACATGGACGGTGCTTGGGTTGCACTTTCTCGAACATGTACATTTTTCAGGTGGTCGAATGGAGGAATGAGTTGGTGATGGATGTACTCCTCAATGTAAGACATAGATGATACATACAACACTATACTATACAATATGGTGATCGACATAAGATACAGAGATGGATGGTACTTTGATTGGACCCCGCTCAAACTGTATATTTTCAGGGGTCGCATAGAGGAGTGTAAGACATAGATAGCACATACAATACGATGCAATATGATAGAACAGCATTGAGTTCAATCGAATACGATACAGTACAATAGTTACCGCAATGCAATAAAATGCCGTGGACGAACAAATGAAGTATATATGTATATGACAAATTGCAGACATTGTTGAACACAAGTTGGAACCCCTTAGCAATGTTTCGGCGGATCGATAGGCCATGTTTTCCCCATGCTGTTTCTCAAAACAAAACATTTGGTGTGGGCGGTTATCGTGGGGATGCGACCTGAATATTCCTGCTTCGTGCCCACAGCTGAAAACAGAGTGAGCGAAGACAGCCGTTTGTCCATGCCTGCTTTGGCGCTCGTCCTGTATGCCAGGGTTGACAACGGACACGAACGCTCGAACCTTGAAACCGCCGCTCTCCTGTGCCAAACAAAGCCCACCATGGCACAAGGGGTCGACTGGTATGGGCAAAGCATAAAATATGCAATCCCTGTACTTGCACAAGCATCACATATGGCGAATGCCGCATTGAATCATGTGTGTGGTCAGAGAGAGGGGAGGTTGAAGGTTTGAGCTGCATTTGGCCCAAATAGGAATTGCCAATGCTTTGGCTGGTCCAAGCTGGGGTATTGTTCCTTGGCTGCTTTTGGTTTGCACACTGATTGGATGTTCATTTTTGTCGCATGGGCCCTTTGAGGTGCAAATGCTGTGTACATGAACTTGAACTGCCCAAAGAGCTGCAAATGTGGCAGTAAGGGCAGGCCACTTTGTGTACCATAGTTGAGTTGTCAATGAGTGGGCGAAAGCATTGCACAGCATTGCTGGGTCTTCGAGGCCAAACTGCAACAGCCTCAATCAGCCACGCTGCCAACCACTGGTCTACATGCAGTGCTGCAGTGCTCGGTGCTACGGGCTCGGCAAGGATCTCCTGGTCTAGGCGCTGTGATTGCTGGGTCCAGAACATCTACCGCTGCCACATTAGGAACGTGTCGTAGCAGCCTGCTAGAATCCAATCAGCCCAACCTGTGGCAAGTTTACATTATAATATAATTCCAAAAAGTGTGCACGTGGAAAATGCCATACAAGGAGACAAAGAGTGTACATCGTTCAATGAGCATCCAGATGCAGTTTGGCCGCCCACCGACGCAAAATTACCTTTTAGATCCTTTTAGACACTTTAGAACCTTCAATATTTATCAAGGTTTTCGAAGCATGGTTTCCAAGAGCATTTCTGAATCTTTCTGATGGAGGCATTTGTCGGTGAGAGTCGGTCTAGACCAGAGGTTTGTTCATTTATTTTGATGAAGTGTATTCGAGTTCAAACCAAATATTGCACTAAAGGGGGCTGGAAGGTTCACCGAAGCTTTGGGGTGAAGACGACAGCTATCAGCGCAGCAGACTGAACACCAGTTACCGCTTGTGACTGCTGAGGTCAAGTGCAATTCCCTGATATCGAGTCAACACCCCACAGAAGTACAAGCACAACGTAGCGCCAAGCGCGCAGAAGAACAGCACAGGAAACACACAGAGAAGCCCCACAGCAGCAGAACGCCAGCCAACAACAAGAAGCTCAATTTGGTTCTTCGAGGAGCGAGGCGGTGTCGAATGCTAGTGGCATTATATAATAACGATAATGTAGAAGCCACACCGCCACTTTCAAAGAAAAGCTATCAGACCGCAAACATGATTGCAGATCCAAAAGCCACCACAAGAGGCACACCCTATTAAGCTAGAATAAACATTTCGCAATAATAAGCCTCCTCCTAGTGAAAAATGGGGAAACAAAACTTGTTCGTTGTAACAATAAACTACTCGCGAGATTAGGACAGCTTTGGATTATACATATATATATATATTGTATTTCCTTGATCCAAATAGAAAAAGTCATTCATTGCTTAAATCTGGAAAAAGGTTTATTATTCAGGAGAAAGTTCTGTTTATTATTGCCACCTAGGAGACAGTTGGTATTGAAAGGACAGTTCTTGTTTTGACAGTAGTTTGTATGTGTATATAATTTGCATGTGTAATCCATTTATGATGATTGCTTGGCGGTTTTGCTCTTTGTGTTTTTGGTCAAACCCACACACACACAGGCAAACCCGAGTACTCGATCAGAGTCACTGAGCAGTGTGCTTGTTGAAGCAAATTCGGACTTGGGCGGCTCAAGTTTCAGAACAATGCTCCTTCTTTGCATGGTGTGCATCATCAGCCTTGTGCCAGTAGATTGCTTTTCCTCCAATTCGCTCCCAGTCAATTGCTGGCATGTCCTTGAAGCCTCCACCTTGACTGGAGAATGCAAGATGACGGATACTACACCAGCAAGCCTAACGACAAGGATATGTTCAATAATTCTAAGTCCAAGACGAAACACCCGTGTCAGTGCGACGTTTGTCATGGCGGTACTTTGAGTTGCAAATCGAACATGGCACCATCACGAAAGCAAGATGTGCCAGAGAGCAAAAGCATATTTTTTATGATAGCGCGGGCTCAGAAGTTCAAAGCCGCTAATTTGTTTAAAGCGGTGTCATTTGGTGCTTCCAGGATTTGGGGTTTTGGGCACAAGGGCAAACAGACCAAAGATGAGATGTGCTCTCCAGCTTGCGCTTGCAATTGTGCAATTAGCAATGATGTGATATATATATATGTATATATGCACATGAGATCTAAATAGAGAGAGAGAGAGAGGTTGACTTCATAACATTGGTTGCTGGAAGGTAAGCAGTTGGAATACTTCAGCAAGCATTCCTGATCTTGGCACCAAAGGCCTAGTGGGCTTCACGCACCCAAAGAAGGGTCTGTAGAAAGGAGCATTTCCAACAGCACCTTCCAAAGGATGTTTGAATTCCTCATGTTTGGATCCGCTACTGCAGAAACGGTTTCTCGGGGTATATATATATATATATGTGTGTATGTATATAGTTATATATATATATATATATTTGTGCGGCTGCAAACAGGTTTCAATTTGGTACTTGGCAAGCCCATTAAATTTACCTTGCACTTTGTGTCATGAGAATGTGGGCCGGAACAAATTTATCAAAAAGAGGACACCCAGGCATACAGAAATGCTGAAAAGCCACTCACGATCCCCTTACCGTCCAAGCCGGCAGCAGGCAGAAGCAACATCACTAGCACCACTGCACTTTTGCAGTAGACAAGTTGAAGCATGAACCACCCAAGTCCTGGATCATGCTTCAGTTCGTTGGCACCCAGAAAATGCCAGAAAATCTTCCTGTGCACGCTGGGAAGTGGTTTAAATACGTAAGACGAACTGAACGCGCATCATCGTTGACAGTGGAGAACCAAGAGTCAATCCAGCCCTTGCGAAACTGGAACTAATCAGGTCACTGGTCACTAGGTCATACTAGGTCTTCATCCCAAGATGATTGGAAGATATTGATACTGTAACTGGAACTTGAAGTTGAACTAAACCCCGACCACTCGCTGATTCAGGCAGGAACCAAAACCCCTCCGCCTGGCTGATTGGAATTGGAATTAGATGTGGAACTGGATCCTTCCCCCGCCCAAGCACCAACAAGATCTACCTGTGCGTAGTGGATATAGTAAGCACTAGGAAGCTCGCATAAGTCGTGATTGCACTTTGTTTTTGTTTTGTTTCCTTCAGGTGCCGGATAAGAATGTCGGCTAATTTCGCACAGGCACCTCAGTCTTTGGCCAGGACCATGAACAAAATCATTCGCTGCCGGTTTTGGTGGAGAATAGAGCTGTGATTGGGTGACTCCTGCCAAGCAAATTTGTACCACAACCATTGATTGGATAACGCGCAACAACCACTTTGAAAGGTGCTGTATGATTATCAATGTCTAAATGGCCAAAAGTCGATGAAGGATTGAAAAGATAACCGAGCTTCGCGGCGTAGAAGGCCAGCCCACCAAGCTTCTCGAGCCTTTTTTGAAATATTTTGAAAGGTCATGTCAGAGACCTGCCGAACTTGATGGTGTTGGGTGATCTTAGACTTAGACAATGTATTGACCAGCGAGAAACGATGGGTTGAAGGTCTGCAAAGAAGGCAACAGGGCTGTAGGGGCTCACTGTAAAACACAACCAAGTGAACGTCGAAGGTTGTAAAAATAGCAGTTCATACAGCTGGTTGAGGACCGAAAGCCATGTCACCATGTCACGGCAACTCACCACAGCCATGCGAAGAAGACTTCAGAAATATCGGCATACACTTTAGTAGCAGAATGTAGCAGATAAACAACACAGCGAAAGATGTCCGACATGGAAGTATTTAAAATTGTCAGTATGGTGCAAATTTACATGATACATGGGAGTGTCAAAGATACTAGCAGTGTAACTTCAAAGCATCCATGTGTGCATCAGAAGCTTCAAGAAAAGCAATGTGGAGAATTGAACACAGTGTGAGCATTAACGATATCAATGATATTGCAATAGACAGACACACAGCCATGTGAGGTGTTATGAGACCTTGTTCACTGGAGTCAACGTCACCAAAGCCCGTCAATTTAGCGGTCCAAGCCAAAGTTTAGTGGTAAGGATTAAGCCTCGTAAGGTGATTTGGTTCCAGCTCTTGAGGTTTTGTGACTTGCTGCTCTTGAGGTTTTCATGAACTCTTCACTTTGTTCAGGGCAACCAGAGTATGTATATAGTATGGAGTTGCGGTCAGCTAGGGTTTCATTTGGGTAGGGGTTTGCGAGGCAAAGGTTTGAGAAGATACCATTTGAGACTGGACATTTGGAGGCACAAGAAAGGTACTATGTGTTTGACAGATTTTGACAAGATAATCGTGAAAATTGTCTCTAAAATGTACTCAGGCTCGAGAACGGATGGCCGCGCAATGGTATAGCTTAAAGCCACAGCGCCTGATGGAGCATGAAGAAGAACTCAAACTGCTTCAATACAGTAAAGAAATTGCAATTTGCTCTTAATTCCTGGCGCGTTGAAAGATAAAGACAACACTACTGTGGTTGAAACTGGAACTTTCCAGACCTGCTTACACAGCATTAGAGAGTGTGCGTTGGTTGCTTGTGGGTGTCTTTTTGGAAAGGAATTATCTATAGACAGCGAAAAGGCAAAAGGGAAGAAAAGCACAGGGAAAGCACATGGGCGGAAAAGAAAAATGGAAGCGGAAGAGAGGATCAATCCGGAAAATAGAATAGTGTGTGTATATATATATATACGTATATAGGGAAATGGTGTGCAAAGTGTGCGTATTATTAGGCTTCAGCCGGCGTTTGCTTAGCGCTTCATCTACTTGGCCATTTACATGGTGCTTTATGGGTACATGGAAGTGTTTTCACGAAAGGTAGCTTGAGCTACCTGAGTTCTCCTTGCTTTAGCAAAAATGTATTACAATCAGGAGTTGGGATTGTGCATTGAGTTTGGTCCTGTAAGAGATGATTCTGTTCGTCGGGGGGGGGCCCCCCCCCCACTGGATCAAATCCCCCCTGCGCCGGTTCACGCCGTCATGGACTTCTACCAGGGTTACTTGTGATTGCCTGCTACCTTTCGTTCACCCCCTCCTCTCTCAAGTCTTAGAAGCGTACCAGTATGTGTCAATTGCTGTATGTGTATGTGCCTGGCAGTGAAGATGCAGTCACCGGAAAGTTTAGATGAAATACTTCCGAGTTGCGGATGCTATGGAATCACTTGCGAATAAGATGCCACATGCCAGAGTGCGGTTGCTTTACCTTTGAGCAACACCCATATCAATGATCACTGAGCTCCCAACACTCAGATCAAAGCACCAACTCACATCCGCAGGCCACCAACCATCATCAATCTACCAAGAGGCCTTGCTAGCAAGTTGTCACGCTGATATTCCATTGCGACCTTGGCGATTTCGTACCTATGATTTGTTCTTGGAAAATTGGTGATGAACTTTGTGTAGTGCTTTATTCTTTGTTCATGCCTTCTTTGTGGGTTTGGTTTGCGGGTTGCTGATTTGTTGATGTGTTTGGCCGTTTTTCTACAGACTTACTGTCAGGAGGACTGCCTTTCGAGCAAAATGGTTTTACCTAGCTTATGCTCATTTCAAGAGCTCTTTTGTTTTTCTAGCAGTTGAGAGACTTCGGCTCATCATGTTCGCAGCGTCA